CATTTTAATTGACTAATATCCTTTAGATAATAGCACCGCACATTTCAATATACAACGTGTGACCCCATATATGTTGAAATTATCCAATAAATAAAACACGCAGTCATTATATCATGTAATACATATTTTTTTATCCAAAACGTAACAGTCCTTCCACAATTGCGAATAGTGATTGCAAAACGCCAAATGGACGTTCTCTGTCTTTTCTATATCCTTCATATTTCAGTACAACGAATTTTTTTTTTTTTTAAAACCTAATTGATCATAAATTGTTAGTATAAAAGTATACCAAATTCGTACATGCTATCATCTAAATAATAATCAATGTCATATTCTTTTACTAAAGGATCCAACTTTACGCGAGTTTTTTTTTTTTTTTTTCAAAATGCATATACAAGAATTTTGTAAAAAATAATAAATAAATAAATAAAGTTTCAACAACGAGGTCAATGATCTCAATGTACCTTTAGTCCTTTGGTTATACTTTGATGGTCTTGGGGGATCGGGAAATGATCTTCTAGAGCACTAAATTGTTGTTTAGTTAACTTTCTATTTTACTTTAAATTTTAATTTTCAATATTTATGTTGTAATAGTGCTAATTTCTTCTTAAATTGTTGTTTTCAATATGTTGTTTGAATTTTAATGAATAATTTTATGTAATTTCTGCAATAGTTATTATTTATTACTTGAGTATAATTTATTATAAATATTAATAAAATAATAATTGAATTGAAATAAATATTAAAAAGTTAAATCATTAAGTAATAAAAGAGTATAATATGAATTAAAATTTGTTGTAGCATAAAATGAAGGGCTAAAAGGAAAGGGCAAAAAAAGGAAAAAGAAAACTTTTAAAATTGCACCATATGAAATTCATTACACCAATTTGGTGTATGATATAATATTAGGCTGGAGGAGATTTTCTAGGGATGACCCTCAACGAAGTATTTATGTGATCTTCAACAGCCCTAAATTTTGTTCCAAAATTGCCTTTAAAAAGTTAAAAGTCCGGATTACAGCCGGCCGAGACGGAACCATTTCTCTCAAGAAAAATACTATTCATCCACAGTAGGGATGCATCTCCAGTTTATGTGGATGTAAATGATTGGTTAAATGATATGTGAAATTAAAAGACTTATTTAGTTTCACCTATCATTTAATATCACATAAACGCCACATAAACTGGGGATGCATCCCCAGTGGGGATGAATAGCATTTCTTTTCTCTCAAATGCCTAAGCTAGCGAGAATGAGCAAGAAGTTAAGCCCACCATTGAGGATTTTTAGTCCCAAAAAGAATTTGGATACGTCAATGCATGGAATGTCAAATTTCAATCAGCTGATGCGTTTTGTCGCCTGAATTCACTCGAAGTGGAAGAATAGAGTCGTTTTTCACATTTCATTGGACAATGTGCCCCTCCCAAACTCCACTGCTGAGAGAATATATAGCGAATCAAAAAGCAAGAAAAAATCAAATTGTTTTACTGAGAACTATGAGTGTATCATCTTCTAATCTACTCAATCGAGATGAAAGATTAGGGAATATGTCCTCAGCTGGTAAGGTCACCCATTGGATAATCAAATCCGAATCTTGATTTAATAAAATACGAGCCATTTGAATTGCCCTGGTCTCATTACAGTTCGCCCTTCCAAAGATCAAAAATAGAATAAGTTCAGGAAATATAGATGAACGTGCAAGTACTAAATCCTGGAGAAACATAAACTCGTTTGAATGTTTTTCAATCATCATTATAGGGTTTGAATCTATGAATGAAGAGCAGACACTTGCATTTATTTGATCATCCTAATTGAGGATCCAGCAAAGGAAAAATATTAAAAATCTTGAATTGAAATCTCCATTGAAATATCTGTGGAAAATTTTCTTGAAGAAGCAAGGGAGCCCCACTCTAGATTATTTAGAATAATGCAGAGTGAAATGTCTGTAATGTTCATTACATGCTCAAGTTAGGTTTAGCAGGGTTAAAAGACTGCAAATGCAGGGCGAATAGTTAGTCACTCGACTTAATTTTTTTTCCAAGTTGGTTATTAAATTTAATCTTTGTTACAATCTAGTAACTCTATCCATGTCCGTTAATCTGAGTACTAGAAAGGCCACGTAGACTTTGAACTACAATACCAACTTAAGATTAAATTTAAGTCTTAACATGTTAATCTTTAATAGACCTAAGATAAGAACTAAATGAAAAAGAAATTGTAAATCCCTCTGGGTACGTATATTACAAGCATGGGGAACTCGCCTCAGCTTTCCTCCTATACATTAAACCCTTATTTTCTCTCACAAGTTTATGGAAAGTTTCAACTTCTAAGGCTATATCCAACGCTGAAGAAGCCAAAAATGACATAGCCAAGAGTTTGAACTTTGAACCATATAATGCAAGCCTCGTCGGAATTCGTCTTTTATCGTTTGTCTCGAAACTCCATTGACTGCATCCACAATGAATTCTATCGGTATTTCCTTACCTGTTGAGCTTTTTGCAGACAATTTTCGATTGAGGTTGACATAACTGATCTCACACACCAACTGCGGGTCATAAGATTTGACAAAGATTTACATTGTGAATACATGTGAACTTCCTACTCCAATGACAAATTGCCGGTCCTGATTTTACGCTGTTGATGGATTATTCCTCTTCCCAGTTGTGCCTGGGACGAGTTAAAATCTGTTGGTATCCCTCTGAATGGAGAATCCAGCTTCGGCTGGAACCACTTCTTTATGGAAACCCCATTAATTCGGATTTTTCCAAATGATTCATTTCCCTGGTATGTTAGTCCAAGCCTCCTCAACAGTGCTGCAACTGCCTGGCTAATCCTGTTGACCAAATGGAACAATAAATACTTATTGGAACTAATTTCTAATCTTTCATTTTGCAATGACATATTTAGACTGATAAAAATACTTGTGTATAATGCACTGATTGACTAGTGAGATGGAACTTGGGAGCTCTTTCTTTGGTATATACGAAACTATACCATCCCAAGATAAATCAGCATAATTTGCAGAAATTTTCATGCTTTTCTGTAAGCTAAATAAATTATCTTCCACTACAACATTTTTAAACTCTAAGCTATTGTATATTACATGGGACGACTGAAATTTGCAGAGTGGGTCCCATAACAAAGTTTGCATGCACAAGGGCCTTTCCAAGTGGCTCAAAGGCCAATGTTTGTCTCATATTCTTCCAAAACTTTTTTTTTATGTACTCATTTTCAAACCACACATTCACATAATAAAATATTCTACATGTCAATCCAAAACTTTTCCCTACTTTTTAACCGCACATTCTTCAAAAAATCACTATTCAAAACAATGTTTTTCCTAAAAAATGGCCGCCAAACTGGGCTTAATAATTTTCCAATATCATTACGCTCTGTTCTAGATTCAACCATTAAAGTTCTCATCCTAACAGCAATTCCTGTACCTAGTTATGACATATATCTAGATACTAAATATATTTCAACCACATAAAACATGTGCTCATGGAACCTTTCGTTTCCAATTAACAAAGAAGCTCCGCTTACCTGGAAGCAATATTAATGGTTTTTTCCCCTGTAGAAGTTTCAATCTGTGTCTTCTCTACGGGAAGTAAAATATTTACATTAGGCAACTTCGCACCTGCGTGAATTTATAAATAAAGTGAAATAAGGAAGCAGTGTCTCCCAAATATTAGTCCCAAAAATGGCATCACCATGACATTTCATTTACATTGCTATAATATTCCAGGTAGCGAGAAACTTGAAGGGAATGGCAAAGAAATTACATCAGAAAATATTGAATACCAGAAAAACATCAAGGAGTCAAGTCAATATTAATGGGGAGAAAGCAAGAAAAATATAGAAGGAAAGAAATATTCCTATTTGACATTTCAGAACACGTGTATTTGATTTGAGTGTGAAAGTTATCCCCTTCAAACTCGGTAACATAAAATAAATGAAAATGTGGCCAGTTTATCGAAGATGCAACTTTTAATTTGTTCAAAAAAAAAAAAAAGGATGAGAGACAACTTCAACTAGGAGTTTGCTGCTATTAAACGCCTAACAATATAATATACGACAGCAACTCGTGAACTCACTTCAGTAGTTAACAAGGTTCATCTGAGTTAAAATAGGAGATCCATTTTAACTTGTATTCTATCTATCTTATATTCTAGTCTAGCTAGGAATTAATGCAGTAATATGATAATACTTTTCCTTTAGACAGATACAGAGGCCATTGTAATCCCTAGAATGAGTTTTCCAATCAAAGACCTTTTATAAATAGGATTGCACTAGTATATATACGATTGATTGTATGAATAAAATTAGTTCAGCCGAAATTTCAACTATCTGCAGTCTGTCTAGCATGATAGGTCAGTATCCTTTTCGACCATATTAAAATCTTCACCAAAACTAGACAAAAATCCAACTAATACTGCGCCTGCATCTATCCACAAAGCTAAGCTATTAAAAAGATCATATTAAAAGGTAAACAGCTACTCGATTTGTTTTGGAACAACAGATCCTATGAGGATTTCCTCTTCTTCATATTTTTTTTTTGGGATAGTGGAGAAGGAAAAATTACATGTGTCTGAAGGTCACCCACCCATTATTTAGTTTACTTTGCAAGTAGAAGTGACTAGCAATTACCAAATATGAAAGGTGAAAGAAGATCTTAAGTTCTATTCATAATCATTGAAGAAGTGAAGGTAAGAAATATTGATACCAGCAGCCAGACGATGCTTGAGACCCTTTAAAACTGTCAAAAGGTATACCTGACAAATATTTGTAAAATATTGACTTAATATATACCAACAGTAATCAAGGATCAACATGGGAGAACAAAACACTGGAATATGGCATATTTCAATAGTATGATAGAGAGACAAATTAAGTGAGGAAGCAAGTCACGGAGGGAAATATGCAGTAGTTGTAAATGAAAATTGTTTAGTTACAAGATATATTTCCCATCCTTTCCTGATAACAAATCAAACTAAAAGATATAAGTTGCAATTCACAGTAAACATACATAGGCTAGAGTCTAGACTACCTCCAATTTAGTTTAAAGAATGATATTCTTCAGGAAATATATATATATATATAAATCCAAGCATTATAAGTGCTACAGAAATTAGCTCACCTCAGCTGTATGTATCTGGAAATTCCTCACATCCATAACAATTGGGCTTTCTTTAAAAGATACGAGAGGTATAACTCCAAGTGAAGCAGCCTCCTGAAAACTCGGAGAAACCAAAAATATCTCCAATCAATTTTCATCCAAGTTCAGAAACCATGAAAAGTTTTTTAACAATTCAGAAAGGATAAATGAAAGTTATCCACAGACCTCTAGTAACGAAATAGCACGGGGATCATATTCCCCAAATCCATCAATCAGTGAATAGAGGTTTGAGCCCTTCGATTTATCGGTACTAAATTCAAAATTCTCAACGAGTCTATTTCTTAAGAACTCATCGTGAGGAAGTCGTAGGCATCCCAAAACTTGTGTTAGTTCATCCATTGTAGGTGTCACACCAGATAGAATTGTTTCCCTATATATAATCAAGGCCAACGATGTCCTGCAGAAAAATCATCTTCTTTCATATAGATGATAAATGCATGTTATTCTCTTATCTAATAGGCAGAATTAGCATAAACAAACAAAAGTGTTCAACAAAATATACATATATTAGCCACAGAATTGAGGATGTCAACATCTTGAGCTCCCAATGGGTTGTTCCAAAAGTTTCTCATAAGACACTTTTCAAAGCTAACAGAAATTCTTAAGTTGCATTTAATATTGAACTTCAAGAAGAACACAACATAATGTAATGGTGAAGGTAAAGAAACAAATGGCTAAACATACATCATACGTGAGAATCAATACCTCATAAGAAATCAAACAGCAAAAAACAGAGCACAGTGTATACTACATAACAAGTTAAACATGTCAGTTTCATCAACAAATTTCTAATTCTTGAATTCATTAGTAACAGTACCATTTCTAATTCTTGCAATCAGTAGTAACAGGTTACATCTCGGAAATGCTTGAAGAGCTAAGATATATCCTAGAAAATTGTTATTCTGTCAAATATTTCCCTTCAGCAGCTTTTCAATTTAAAATTACTTTGAGACTTCTTCAATATTAATTTATATTACAACTTGTTAGTTGATAGTTCAAATTTTCCATTTAAAATAAAATTCCAAAAGCACATCAGCCCTATAAGTCAAAAACTCCAATTGATGTCAACAATATAATCAATCTGTCCTTACCTCTTCATTACCAAAATTATGATCACTGGCAAGCTTAAGTTCTTTTTTTCTTTCGGAGGGAGAACAAGAGTTTGAAAATCGATTTACAAAAGGTAGCGAGTAGGGACACACACACACACAAAAGATTAAGTTGCATATTATTGGTCAAGGAATTGAAAGGTCAACTTATAAGGTTAATTTCCAAGAATAATGGTTCATCAATTAATTATAAAGACAATGAGGCATATAAAAGGAATTTCTATCGAAGCCATCCAGAAACTCATCAAGTTCATAACTTATCGTAGCAGTATTAGGTTTTGCAATTATGTTCATAAAAATCAGAAAAAGAACAAATATCAAGATGATTCTCAGTAATCATATGTGCATAATTTCAGAAAACTATATTTCTTAGGAAATGTAGCTGCATAACAGAAGAAACGTCTACCACGTATTATCAAGTTGTAGCCGTCGTGGGGAGAAAGGTAGTACAGGCTCGCCAGATGTACAAGCTCTTTGGTATCTTCGTAAGCACATAGCTTCAGAAGACAAACTTAATCAGTAAGTAAAAGAAATCATTAATCAATATAATACGGCACTTTCAATAAAGATATAACTACATCACAGCAATTTCATATCATAAACCGTCCGACATGAAGGTTCTTTTGGAGCTTCTTACTCAGCCAAGTGTACAAACACGGGCATGGACATGGACACGCAACGAACATGGCGACACATGATTTTTCTAAAAAAGTAGGAAAGTGAAACACTGGGACACGTCGATTTAAATTCTTTAAAAATTTATATATTATATTTTTATTTTTATACTTTTCAATAGAGAACAAGGCACAATCCACGTCGAACATTTGCCTAGTGAATGTCCTTGAAGTGTCCATCGAGCATTAGAAATTTAAAAATATAAAAATTAGGACAAGGCACGTGGCTCGTCGGACACATGGCATGGTGTCGGTCTCCAATACGTGTTGGCACCCGACATGACACGACATGTATCGGCACACGATATGTATCAGACATGAACAGACTGCCCTAGTAGGAGTATCTGTTATCATAGCTTCTTAAGGGAAGAAAGCAACTCTCAATTTCAATAATTTCTTAAATTATGCAATTATCATGAGCTTGAAGTTTGAGCATCAAAGGCAAAGTTTTCTCCACCCTTTGTTACCATGTACAACTTAATTTTGAACTCAGCTTTGAAGTCAATTTGTAATGCATAGGCACAAAATGTCAACTAAGAAAGAATGCCATTCAGAAAAGAAAATCAATTAATTAATAACGTGACCATTTCAGACAAAACAAGTTGTAGAGCAAAATATTTTGAAACAATGATGTTTTCATTCTCGTGACAATATTAGACTCCAAAAATTGCAACCTAGTTAGTGGTGCAATTTGAGCAATAGGTTGGCAGCAAAAGACACGAGACAAAGCAAGTTAAACAAATTTGTAGAAGTTCAGAGAATATGATGCAAATGTACCATTTTCAGAGAAAAACTAGCACTAACACGTGAATTAAATCAATACAACGATTGAATGAAATCAAAATAGTCAAAAGATACCTGCACATGACAAGAATAGTCATAGATTAAAAAAAAATACAATTTTTTCTTGTAACAAGAACACGCTCAAAGCCTAGGTTGGGTTTTTATGCCTCAACCTAGTCCGAATGGGGGGGTCGGATTCCCCTACCCTCTTCATTAATTTCATTAATAGTCATAGGATTCATGTCATTAAGATTTCTTTAAATATTCAATAAAATAATATTTAGATAGAAGTTATTTACCCTGTTTGGTGGCCAATTTTTGGAAAAATATTGTTTTGAATAGTGAATTTTTGGAAAAAGTGTGGTTAAAATTTAGGGAAAAGTTTTGGGTTTATATGTAGAATATTTTACTGTGTGAATGTGCGGTTGAAAATGAATATGTAGAAAAAAAACTTTTTAAAAGAATGGGAGACAAACAAGGGCTTAGTAACAGCCATATTAATCTTACCAATAAGACACCTGCACATAACGAGGTTAGGTGCAACACCATCCTTTTTTGCTTCAGAAAGGAGCATGTGGCCAACCTCTATGTCATCCTCTCTGAAAAAAATAGACCAAAACAGTACAAGTACTATTTAGTTCTGTAGATTCAGTAGGTGAAGAAATGGTTCCTGGTAAGAAATATTCAGAGACAGACAATTACTTTTCACTTGCCACTAAAAGGATGGAGTATGTGATGGTGTTTGGGACTAAACCTATGCTCTTCATTTCAAACAAAACTTCAGTGGCCTTCTCTAGTTTATCCGCATCACCTGTAAGGAATATTTGCTTAAGTGATTTTTCATACTTATTATCATACAAATGGAAAATAAAATTTGTAACAGTGGGAAATTTTCTTAAGATTGACTTTATTTGCTGACAAATAAATAAATATTTTCATTTGGTAGGTCCCAGGTAATTTAACTGCAGTTACAAATTAATTTTAGATATTTTTTAACCATTGCCGGCAGACAGGACTCTAATAATCAATAAATCCCAAGATTGTCCATAAATTATCTAAAAGTTGTATAAGCATTGCATGAGCTTCGGAAACAAAATATAAATAAATCATAACTCGGCCAGTTGAGTCCCAGCTACACATCCATTTTCTTCTTTTTCTTTATCTCGTGTGTGTGTGTGTTCGAGTCAATTCCCTTTCCCCAAGTTCACAACCCCACAGATGTCATTAAATAACTCCCAAGCACAAATGAATAAGCCTCAAAGATGTAGTTCAAAATTGTGATCAAATCATAAAATTTCAGCCATGAGATTGAGAACCAAAATTGAACAGCACCTGTCATTCTTGTGGTTCAGTTTTACCTCATTCACCAACTAATAAACTCATATTTTGAAACCAGAGAACCCTCCAAGAAAGTTTCGAAATAAAATTTACCTAATATCCAGAATGGATACTCCTAGTAAATTAAATGCCCTAATGCAGATGCCAGACCTAATGCACAATGGATGATTAGAAATTTGCACCTCAGTGTAAACATTCACAATGCAATTAATAGTTGATATAATTTAGATTTAAAAATCTCATTACCCTCTTGCATGGACCATTTAGAGACCTAGTTAAAGAGTGAAAGGAAACTTAGCAGAATTCATTCGTAACTTGTAGGACCTACACACTAAAATATCTCTGATGATCTTTTCAGCTCGCATTCCCAAGACCAAAGGACCCAATGGACACAATGGGCTCAAGAAATTATAGATTTGGCCCTATCAACTTTTCACCAGACCCTATCAGCCCAAGCTACTCCCTACATCCTCACTTAAATAAGTCTCATTTAATCATTCAATTCCCACCTATTATATCCAGCTGTGCTGAATGAGTTGACTGGTAATGATTTTAACGACTTAGCAACTTTTATTGTTTCTGTGACACTGCACACTATCATAAGATGGCTGCATGCATATCCCATGTTCAGTCTAACTGAACATGTAACCTAAATATTGTTTAGTTCAATGAAATATACTATGGTCCAACTTCCAACCAACATTTTCTAAGTGGACTTCTAAAGATTGTTGTTCACATTATTCATAAATAATATTCTCCGTCCCCCGATAATATGGCATCTTTCTTATCGGGGATTTTCCACATTCAAATTTTTACTCACCCAAAATGGAAATAAGTAATCCTCATTGCCCTCAATCTGCCCATTAAATTCAAATAATCATTTCAACAAGATGGTCCATGTCAATTTAGAATATAGTACACAAAACACTCAACCCCAATATCAAAATATTAAGACTGACAACACTTCGGAATAACTACAGCAAAGATGCAAGTAACAAATATACAAATATTCTAACTAAATGCTTCTCCACTTAAATCTTCAATTCTTAAACTCTGTGCCAAAACTAGAAGTGTTCATAATTGTCGGACGGAGGCACTGTTTGCATATCTTTGATGTCTCTGAAAACAATTCACCAAAACCGGAATATATAAGTAAATGGTTGTGCCTCTTTTCTCTTTGGGCCATCATTTAAGCGGTTAGCAAAGAAAAATGTTGTTATTCTAGTCCACAGAAAGTATCTAAAAGCAGCAGGACCAAATGCTTCTTCTCAATCACGAAACTCGTTACACATTCCCACCCTTCCCCTAAGCTAGTCAATACCTGACCATTGAGTTATGAATTCTCTACATTTTTCATCAAACAAACAAACTGACGATTCAGAACCACCACATCAACGCGTGATTTTTGTTGAAGTCAAGCATCATCACTATGGATTGAGAAGAAGAGTTACAGAAACTATATTTGACACTTTACTTTTGGTGGGGTGTAGAGGGGAATGACTTACATAAGGCAGTTATTAAGGCATTCATCATTGGAACTGTTGGTTTCAAGTTCAAATGTTTAATTTCCTCATAAAACTCCAGTGCCTTTTGCCAGTCTTTTGCCTGAAATGGAAAAAGAAAATAAGGCATTCACATATCGAATTTCACATGAAAAAACGAAGACTGGGTCATAAGTTTGTTCCTAACAATGCATAGAGTCTGGCAGAAAGAATCTTCAAACCAAGTCCCAAGTATGCATATTGCTGGAGAGAAAAAAAGGTATTTGTGTTTACAAATGGAGAAACAGCGAGGTTGAATATAAAATAGGTTAACAGTTAAAATAATCTGCAGCATTTATCTTTAAAAATTTAGTTTCCCTTGATTATCTTTAGCTTTCCGTAACCAAGTTTGACGATTAACATGTCAATAATAAGAGGATCTTTACAACCAAGTGTACAAAACAGGTAAAATTTACCCAGGATTCTGGTCTGTAGAAGTGAATTATAGCAGGAAAAATGGACTTTTATCCTCCTAAGAAATTGAGAGGGGGGGGGGGGGGTTAACT